TCTCTCTCTCTCTCTCTCTCTCTCTCTCTCTCTCTCTCTCTCTCTCCCCCAACAGGTGGCACCTCTTGAAATCCACAAAGAGAACTTGCTTGATGTGGAAGAGCAACTTCGGTTTCTTGTTCACGCTATAGAAGGAAAGACAATTAGTGGCATACTACCTCTGTTGAGTTGTTCAATTTCTTCTTGGATATGGAAGAATTTAGGAATTCCGGTATGTCCTCTCGAGCTGTAATATGTGCATATTTTTTATAAGCTAAATTCGAACACCTTAAATAAGTAACTGTATGGCTCTTGTTGAGAAAAAAGTACTGTTTTAGTGGTGATCTTGATGGCCAACTTCTGATTGTGGTTATGCATATTAAAGCGTCATGCTTCAAACTCTCGGTCTGCTTATAAGTTAACCTCTACATGAAGATGAATGTACTTGTGAAATTTATTTCCTAAATCTTCTCTCTTTTAAGTTCAAACATTCTATGGAACCCGCACTTCAATTTCGCTATGGAGCCATCGGATGAGACGACTTATGGAATCATCCACAATTATTCACAAATGGTGTATTGACACGAGTCCTACAATAAATACACTTGGGACGTCTCAATACATCATCAATTTATCCACTGGCTCCATAGAATTTTTGTCTACTAAAAATGGGCCACTCTCGCAAAAGTGGAAGTTTTTGCAAACACACCCTTTATCCAAAATTTATATATTCAAGAAAGACCATCTCACTTAATATCATTTTTATTATAATGTTTCTCTTTTGATTAATTTTTTTCCCTCTTTATAATGGTCACATTGTCATCTCAAAGATGCTTTGACGGTTCCGATGTACTATAGCCAGGTTCAATCTTTCCCAGTGTTCGATGTGGATTAGAGACAGCTCTCCTGAGTGCTATTGCAAGTAGACAAAATAGCACTTTAATGGATATAATCAGCCCCACAACCGAAAAAACGTCCGAGAAATCATCCCCTGTTCAAATTTGTGCCCTCATTGACTCCTACGGGACTCCAATGGACACAGCTCTTGTAGCATCCAAGCTGGTTGCTGAAGGATTTACGGCTATAAAAATAAAAGTAAAATTGTACCCATACCAGACATTTTAAATTGTCCTTTTTCTTTTATTCTTTTGATACAGTTGGAATTTATCTTTTCTTTCCGACTTGTTACAGGTTGCACGTCGAGCAGATCCTGATGAAGACGTAGTTACAATACAAGAGGTGAGAAAGAAAGTGGGAAAAGATATTGTACTCCGTGCGGATGCTAATAGGAAATGGAATTATGATGAAGCCGTTAAGTTTGCTCTCTCGACCAAAGACTGCTGCCTGCAATATATCGAGGTTCGATACAAAGCATCTGTTTTTTTCTTGAACTGGCAATGGTTAAGGCCAAACCAATTTTAAAAAAGAGTCAGCTTTTAGTTGGAAAAGAGAAAAAAAAAAATGGAAATCGCTTCTGCTTATGATATTATTTGTGCATCAATGAGAACCTAAATTTACAAGGAAATAATCCTTTCGTTTCCTATAGTAATATCATAAATTTAAACTGACTTGGGTGACTTTATGTATATATATATATATATATATATATATATATATAGTGACTTCTCCCCATTTTGATGCAGGAACCAGTGAATGATGAGAATGATATAGTGAAATTCTGTGAAGAAACTGGTGTGCCAGTGGCTTTGGATGAAACAATCAACTCTATAGGGGAAAACCCTCTGGAGGTCCTCGGGAAGTACAGCCACTCGGGAATTACTTCTGTTGTAAGTAGAATGCACTTTTTGTTATAAACTCTTAGAATTTTAGTTTCTCCCTTGGACATTTGAGAATATCCTGTATATTATGCTACCGTCGCCAAGAAAACCTTTTAAAACTTCCCCCAATCTTCTTGTAGTGTGTTTTCCCATTTTTTCCGCCATACAAGGCTGTTATCTTGGATTTAGGTACAGGTTGCACTTTGAAATTTGTTGACATCTTCAAATATTTTACAGTTGCACTCCTCGATTTTCAAAGTATCAAGAATAGTTCAAGTTTTTCTTTTTTTTTTTCACCTGGCTAGTTGTGATATTTACGAAGCTTGGAGGAGTAAATCTAAGATATAAGATGAAAGAATTGGTGCAAGCACATTAATACTGATGTCCAAAATGATTATGTTTTTAATTTCTTTGCTGTATTCTTTTGTGTAATTTGGCCAAACCTCACGGTAGCTTTTGTAATTAACACTTCGTGTAATCGTTATTTACCTATCATGTCTGTATGCTTATTCAGTGATTTTTTTTTTTTTTTTTTTAAATAATCATAATTATCTCAGGTAATCAAACCTAGTGTCATAGGCGGGTTCGAAAAGGCAGCTCTGGTAGCAAGGTGGGCCCATCAGCACGGGAAAATGGTTGTAGTTAGTGCTGCATACGAGAGTTCGCTTGGTTTGTCAGCCTTCATCCAGTTCGCCCGTTTCCTCGACCTGCAAAATGCCGAAATTCGAAGCTTGACGAGCAAGGAGCCCGGACCAATCACAGTGCACGGATTGGGGACATACAAATGGTTCAAAGAAGATGTGACGTTGGAGCATTTAAATATTCATTATAGTCCTGAGCACAGATCAGTCGAGGTCGATGCTGTTGATGCCGGTCGATTTCTCCAGGATTTGCGGGTAAATAATGACGTAGTTGTCAGAAAGTTTATTGGTGAACAAGTGCGCAAGTACCAAGTAGCGGTTGATACAGACGGTTTCTCGTTTACTACAAATGTGGTCGAGGCTGGAGAAAGCATTGATGTAAGTGTTTTAAAATTATAAAAGAAGCCCATGAGGTTTAGTCTAATTACAAAAGCATCCGAGCCATCTTTCAAAATTACGCTTTTTCTCGTATCGATGCAGGGTAGTGCTGTTGTGTTCCTCCATGGGTTTCTTGGAAGCGGAGATGATTGGGTCCCGATCATGAAATCCCTCTCAACCTCCACTAGATGCATTGCAATCGATCTACCCGGCCACGCTGAATCAAAGTTGCAGTTTAACGGTTCCGATTTGTCAATCGATATGGTAGTTCATATCTTGTGCAAGGTGTTAAATAATCTCACCCCTCATAAGGTCACTCTTGTGGGCTACTCAATGGGAGCTCGGATATCTTTATACACAGCCCTAAAATGTTCTCACAAGGTATATAACACTACATTTTATGGTTTACAGATATACCATCGAGCTTCCGTCTTAACTATCAAAGACAACTATTACTAAAAGAAGAATTTAATGTGTTTCTAGTTAACTATTTAGATAACTCTGATTTTGTACCAACTCAATTGTGTGTAATGTGTGATATAAAAAAGGTTGAAAAGGCTGTTATAATCTCGGGAAGCCCAGGTTTGATAGACAAGGATGCAAGGGAAATCCGTAAGGCTAAAGATGACTTTCGAGCAAGCACACTGGTGTCAAATGGGTTACAGTTTTTTACAGAGGCTTGGTATGCTGAAGAACTCTGGGCAAGGTATGTCAGGCGAAACCGTGCATTTGTGTTTTACCATTTACTTCTGATGAATTTCATGTGTCCAAGGCGTAAAAATTAATTGCCCATTTTGTCATGATGCAGCTTAAGAACCCATCCACACTTTAAAATGATAGTTAACAGCCGTTTGCAGCATGATGACTTGCCGACTCTTGGTAAAGTTCTCTCTGGCTTAAGCATCGGAAGGCAACCGTAAGTTCTGCAATAAACATTGCTATATTTTTTGTCATTTCATTTAAAATTTATTGATATTAATGTAAATCACCCTGAAGTTTAGCTTAATTACACCAAAAAAACAGGTATGTGAGTGAAAGACTTAGCTGAATTTATGTATACATATATACGTTTTTTTCTTACAACAGATCTTTGTGGGAGGATCTGAAGCATTGCAAGGTCCCACTGCATATTTTAGTGGGAGAAAAAGATGCCAAGTTTAGAAGAATCGCTCATGAAATGTACGCCAAACTCGGCCATGAAAATGGAAGTTCTAATTATTCACCGCCAGTGACTGAAATTCCGAATGCTGGACATGCAGTTCATCTCGAGAATCCTCTTGCTCTGATTACCGCTCTACGACAGTTCATATAGAGAGGGAAGACTAGTTAGATCCCTTGATTTATGTACAATTAAATAAAATTAAAAAAAAAAAAGAAAAGAGAAGTAAAGAAGAAGAAAAGAATAATGCATAGATCATGCAATTGTTGTCTCCAAAAGAAAGTGTTGTTTTTTCATAAAGTAGAATAGTGTTACAGAAAGGAATAATGAGTCACCTCAGTTGTAACAAGGGATCAAATAAGTTCCACTTCGCAATTGGTCATCTTTCTTGGCCTCTATGTTTGAATTAAATTGCTCGTCCCTCAACATCAACGGTGGTGAGCTAATTCTTTTCGATCGCACAACGATGCGAGGATGTGTAGATCTGAGTACGATATCAAATAATATGAAGATCAGAAGAAAAATGAAGATAAACGAGTCGCCATTTTTGTGAGCTCAAGCTCTGCAATTTTCATTCAACTAGAAATATTATGTTCGTACAGTACGCACTTAAAACCTACAATCCATAATGACCATACTAATCCCAACACGTGTCCATTAAGCAGCAAGAATAAAATGAAAGGA